TTCACATGCCAAACCATAGATCGTCTTCGCCGTTTCTAATTAGCTTTCCTGTATTTATTCTTTCGGTGAAAATATCATCTGCGTATGACTGGCTGATTTGGCAATCTTTTGAGAGCTTTATAGGGATATTGACCAAGCTGAGGCTGTGGATACTTCGCCATCAAATAGTTAATCTGATCTTTTGTGAGTGGCGTCTTATCATCTGCATTACTATCAAGAAGACCCTAAATAATTATGTGCTGAGGATAGAGACTACAAACAATTTAATAATGTTCATTAGTAAAGCCAAAAAAAAAAAACAAAGTTATAACTAGAAGGAGTATACAGAATGCAAGTAAACCTTTTTTGCAGATGCAAAAATTTCCTTATTGGTTTGACGAGTTCTGTCCACACAACTAATATAAGCTCGATTAAAATCTTCGCAAGGTAAATTGTCATATTCCCACTTTTTCAAACATTCAAAAAGAGCTTGCAGCTCTTTTGTACATGTCTCACCTGTCAATATTGAGGTATTTGTAATAACAAAAAGCAGACATGAGGCTCGTCAACAGCTATTTGCATAAGTGCGTTTGGCACTTTTTTGTCATTAGGAGGCACATTGATGTTATTTTTCAGTGAACGATTCTCCACTATATCACTTGGAGAATTATTATGAAAAACTGACGATACAGTTTGCTGGTTCAGCATTTTTCGTTTGTGATATTCTACTCGTATTTGCGTAAGCCATTTGCGCTTTGCCATCAATAACGTTTGTATATGGATAAATTTGTGTTTATATCCAAACGTTGTAATCGTTGTTCGACTTTTTTGTTGCATGATTGCTCATCAAGCTCTTATTTCGCCAACCCATACAACACTTTACGGACCGTTTCTGCAACTGCGTAAACTTTTCCTTTTTATTTAAAAATTTCAAAGGCAAATTTGAAATTGCCGTCGTCTGCAAGAATAAAAAAATCTTTTATAGGCAAACAGACGTGGTGAAAGAGAATTCACGAGCCGGCTCATTAACACGTTTACAAAAACTTTCAAACGATTCAGTGCAACATACTCGTCGGACTAAAAGCGTCGTTGCTCCTTTAACAAAGGACTGATCAAAATCGACGTACTTGACAGAGTTTGCAATTATCTGTGCATCGATTAAAATTTTTTCACCATTACCTGTACTTACCCAGTTTTGTCGCGATTACGTTTTGTACCTATTTTTGTAATATGTTCTGAGTTTTTCATTACATAAGAAACTGTAATGAGCTGTTGGCATTATGGATTTGGATATTATTTATTTATAGGTGTTAAAAGGTAAAATTACAAGTAGTACAACTATACAGCAGCTGTCGTTGTCGAATTTCTATTATATTTCGTTTACTTGATACATATGTCAATTTTTTGCTCGATATAGTGTTCTAAATAATTAATTATCAGCTAGTTTTATATAAATGTGTTTTCATCATAAAGATTGTTATCTCTTCTTATTTTTAATCAATTTATTGTAATTTTTTTTATTGGTTAATTTGACATAATACAAAGCACATTATTAATTCGTTTTGCTTTCATAAAAGTTAAGAATTTCAAATGTGCTGATGGCCTGCAAACAGTTGCTGCTGTTAAAAAGTTGTATGAGCCATTTTGAGACAAAAAAAGTTGCTTGAGAGTTTTCCGGTGAAGAAAACTTTTCAAAAAATATCTTATCGTTCAAGAATTTAAGAGTGTCGAAGTTTTGTTCTGTATCACATTCCAATTAAAATACTAGTTTGAAATAAGATATCGAGATTTTTTGATGAAAATGGTACAAATACATTTTAAGAAAAGATGAGATCTACTGTGATTAGCGTCTTTATATTTGTAATGCAGTTGTTTATGTTAAGATATGAATTCTTGCTTATTATTTATGTTTAGAGAAGTCAGGTTGTTGCAAATGATGGTACATGAAAATATCGTTAGCCTTTTAGATTTGTATATCCCCGATAGCTCGCTTTTTTCTTTTTCCATTGTGTAAGTCCCAGTATTATTTTAATGGTAATTAATCTCGTATTCTCCTTTATTTTTG